CGTGGGCCCGCCCCCCCCCGGCTCCAGGATGGCTGCGGATCAGGTTTCCGTGTGGGGATCAGCATCCTGCCGACAGGGCTTTAGGCTGCCCTGGGGAGGAGACAGGAGGCTGGAAGCGCTGCCATTCCATAGGCCTTTCCAAAAACACTTCACAAGCGCTTTGTCTCACTGTCTCACTGTATTGTCTGTGCAACCCTGTATTGTTACTGATCCTTCACGGAGAAAGAGAAACAGTGTCCACAGTTTGACTTTTGTTCTCAGTTGGCACAAGACGTGTTCATCTGCTGGAAATGAGATTGCGATGGTAGGCAAGGAACCGTGCCCTAAGACCTACTCGCCAAAGAAATACCTCACTCCTCAGCTCATTTCAACTTGTTTACCAGCTAGCCCACGCCGTAAATGAAAATAACACTTCCAGCTCAGAGTTTAATTCAAAAGAATTGCATTTTCACAAAAGCCTCTCACTGTCAGCTCTCCACTTCCGTGTCTCTGAAGGTATTTGAATAGTCCAGTGCACACATGGGCTGGCAGCCTGGTGGCCATTCTTTCATTACGGGTCCAGCTCCCTTGAGCAACACCTTTTCTTGTGTCCTTCACTAGAGGAGGGGCATGGCTGCCCCCCCCCCCCCCACCCCCGAGAGATCTGTGCCCTGCTATTTTAACCCTCTGTGAGGTGACCTTTTTAATAAGTGTCTTTCTCTGTTTTCCTGCCGGCCACTGCGCGAGCAAACAGAGCATGTCTTCTGCTTCCCTCAGATAAAGGAATCAATCAGAGAGGGTGCAACAGAGAAAGAGAGGGAGATAACTGGGCCATATATGGATTTATGTTATGTAGATTTCCCCTTTCTTCTTCCCCGTAGACACTGCAAAATGCACTCAGCTTCAATAAAATACGTTTCAGATTTATGAGAAAAATACAAATGAAATATTAATACTCTGTGAAAAACAATAAGATCCCCCCCACAATGAAGAGGGTGGTAATATGATAGAAATAGTTTAGACAAATTTCTAATATGAAGTCTCTGTTTGCGACTGGGATCCAGACACATTTTTGAAACCCACTGATATATGTTTTCCCCCTCTTCCATTCCCAACCACGACATGTTTGTTTTGAAGTGTTTGAATTCATTTGCATCAAGTCGTTGGGTCAGCAGCATGGAAACATTCAGTAATACCCTCGACTATGAACAGGCTCCTGGCAGTCCATGTTTTCTACTAACTGTTTCCAACAGGCTCCTATTGGTTGTACTGGAGTTTTCTTTTTTTTTTTTTTTTTCAACTAACTTTGCGTATTGATCCAACAGCTGCTTTGTGGCTGCCAAGAAAGAATGTGCCGAGCTGAAAAGACTTTATTTGCTTCAAAAGGGCTCACATAAGAGGAAAGCGACACGAGCAAGACCTGATTAGCCGAACTCTGAGCCGCTGCCGTTCATCAGAAATTCTGCTGTGTTTTTTTTGCCGGGGCGTCTTGCAACATCCTGGTACAAAGAGCAGCACACTGATTACAAGGCTTTGAAAGGAGGAGAGGCGGTCAGGGGAGAATAGCTACTTCTGGCACAACGCAGCCACTGAAAAGAGACCTCATGCTAGAGTGAGCTCTCAGAATTGGGCTTGAATCTTTCCTGTGTGTGTGTGTTTGTGTGTGTGTGGGGGGTGGCATACTCTCTGTGAGTGTCTATGGGAGAAAGAGGAATACAGTAGGTAAGGAGAGAAAGAGAGGCTGGGAAAGAAAGGGAGTATTAAAGTAGATGTTTGACTCCACGGCGTACCATCCCTGCGCGTTTCCTCTCGCTGTGCGACCGTGCCAGTAACGTTAACAGGAATGTCATTAGGAATTCAAAGCATATGCCCTCGTGAGGACGCCCTTGTTCTCTCTCCCCAGTGCTTCGCACCGCACACATTATGCACTGTATAAAGTATTTATTGGTCTTTGTCAGACGAGGGCTGCATTTTCTGCAGAAAAAAATCCCCAATCAAAATAAGGAAAGAGGAGCCTGCGTTTCTATTTGTGCCGTTGCGTGTTCATGGCAGAGATGGCGATGGCCAGC